TTATAAACATTATTTTTTTCTACCATCTATTTATATATTAACCATTGGAAACTTTATTTATGTTTTCTTTTTTAGATTGAAAAACAATGCTCAACAATCATGAATGCGCTCCTGTCTTGTCATTCGAAATGCCATCCACATTTCTTCATCCTTAGCTCTTTTCAAATTAAATTTCATTAACTGAAATCATCTTCTTCCTAAAATAGGAAGGCATCCTGACTTGGACAAAGCTAAACTATGCATTCCTCTTACTGAACTGTCAAACCTAATCCTTAATGTCCCTGCTGTTACAGTCTTAATTCCTCACCAACAACTGTGCATGAATGTGCTGTGAGAAGAGACAGCTGCTTAGAGTGTCTCACTTTGACAAATATTATCAATGGTTCAGTGTCAGCCTGGGGAGACATGACACATGGCATTCCACAGAGGTTACTTTGTGGGCCAGTTAACATTTTAATCAGTGGCTTGGATACTGGATTAAAAATATGCCTAGAATGTCTGTGATGGACACTAAGGTTCACGATGAGAATAGATCCAGTTCCTGAACTGCTCTCTACCTTATAATGTTACTAAAGCAGAGAAAAGCTGTGGGCGATTTTATATATAAAGAAATAGAAAACCCAGCAGTACTTGCCTTTGTCACCTACATCGAATAAATTGTTTTAAGGCAGGCCAAGGTCTCCTAGTTGTCTCTACCTACATCCGAGACTGATCCCTTTGCCTTCTCTTTGCTTCCTTGGGACTAAAGGATCTTGGCTGTTTGTTCTCATTCCTGGGTGCCATTGCTTGCAAATTAGCCTGGACCATCGCAGCTGTTCTTTCTGATACAGTGGGATTGGTGAGGCTTTAACTACAAATATACAGGAAATAGAAGGGATTTTTAAAATTCCAAATAATCGGGATTATTAAAAGCTAGGAAAGCTCTTAAGAATAATACTGATCACAGGTTTTCTGGTCTACATTAAAATGCAAATGAAGCTAGGTCAAAGAGTCCCTTTCCTGTGTTGTTCACCCTGCTGAATCCAGACTCAGAATCCAAATTCAGCAGATTCCCATTGGCCCAATGGGATTGCTAATTCTTTACAGATTAGATTTCCTAGTCTTCTCTGTTTATCTTCTCTTTTTCTCTGATGCTCAAGCCTGTTGTCCTTTCATCACAATTATTCTTGGCTCCCCTGGTCTCTTCCTTCTCCTGGCAACTTGAAAGAGAAAGACCATTAAGGATGCCTTCTCTAAACTTTAAGCAGTCCTCTACTGACCTAAAAATTACCCTTTAGCCCTTTGGAGCTTCTGCCTTCTCAATCAGTATTTATTTATAATCAATTTCCTAAGAATAATTGAGACTCATTCTTTCAGCTTCTTAATGATGTTTTGAACATGTGTGCAGGCTTAATTCTCTATTGAGACCTCATTAGTGTGCTCCATCCAGAGGTTAGCCTCTGTATGTTATCTCTGGTCTCACTAGCTTCCAGAAAGCATAATCACATCCTATCTTATGTTTTTGAAAAAAAAATCTTATCTTTGATAGACTCAATATTTTTTTTGTATCAATGTACATTTATGGACTACTTGAAACACCCTAATTTCAAATTACTGTTAAGAGCCTTTGATCGTTCTTTCTTGGTTATGTACATGCCCCTCGTTTTATTGTGTGTGTGTTTTTCTTCTTATGTCCTTGTCTTTTCTCTAAAAGGTGGTTTTCCAGAGTCTTGTGATTATTTTTAGAACATTAACCATGACAAGCATTGCTAGTATTCACAAATACCCAATTCTCTTTTCCATTCTTGCTTAGAAAAAATTATACTTTCCAACCTCCTTGAGTTAGGTGAGAGCAGTAGACTGGTTCCGGTCAATGAAATGTGCATGGTGTGATGTGTGAGCATTAAGCTGAGGCAATGAAAAACCTCTGAATTTCTCTAATCTGTCTTGTCTCCTATCATGACTATCAGCTATGCTTTGGACAGAGGATTCGGTGAGCTTCTCCTTACATGATTATACGAAACAGAACTGATGCTTTGTTGACTCACATTGGACACGTAATGTGAAGAAGAAATAAACTTTTGCTGTGTTAGAAACAGATATTTCAGGGTTAATTTGTTACTGAAGAATAGCCTATTATTCTGATTAATAAAGCCATTATGTTATGAGCAGGGTCTAGCAATAACAAGCATTATCTCCACTGGCAGAAGAGGCTCAAGGTTCCCTAAAATGAACAAGATGATAAATCCATTTTGATCTCCATAAACTGTGGAAAGAATGATTTTTTTAAAATAAGGAATGATTTTTTTAAAGGCAAGACAACATTTTGATTTATTAAACATGGACAAATTCAGAGACTTAATGTTAGCATCTAAGGTGCGAATTATTTTTGTTTGAAAATTAGATTTCATGCTACTGTTTTTTGGCAAAACTCTTGTTTTATTCCTACCTTGTATTTCTAAAACTTTTATATCTAAGGCGGCAATCAGATATATAGAGCTGTAAGAACAGGTTAGCTTCATGATTCCCATTCCACCCATGGGATCAACTGTGGCACAGTACAAAGAATTTCAGTGCCATGGATTCCATTATGTTCAGAATCTGTCTTGCGTTTTGCCTTCCAAACCTGCCTTGACTGCCTTACTTGTTCATTCCTGAGGCTTTTCTTGCTGTCTGGTCTCTGGACTCCACCCTCCATTTAGACCTAAAGTTTCGACTTTACTTGCTTCCCACACCCTCATCTGGGAGCCAAGCATAAATCCCCCTTTGTTCTTCAGCCAAAAGCTTATTTCCCCTCCCCCATTCCCATACTCACTCTCAACTACTGGAATTGCTAAACCCAGGCTCCTCACATTCCTAGGAAAAGAAGTCAGCAACAGGAGGGCAGACAAAAAAGTCTGAAGCTCATGCAAGGTAGTAATGGACGTTATTTTCGTGTGTGATTTCAGGAGATCAATCTCATTTCCTTCAAGCTTTTCCATGATCTTAATTATTTCTGGGTTCATAGGTTGTAGTTTACTTCTTAAAGGCATTATAATCTATCAACGTATAAATGTATTGACATCCTGATGGTGATATAGAAAAGACAGAGAAGGATCAGTCTGCAAAGTGCTTTATAAAGAAGGACAGTTTTCTTATTTTCCAGATGGGTCAGGGAGGCACAGCTGGAAAGAGAATGTGAGTTTTTATCCAAATCCTGTGCTTTCATTTGTCTTGGCAGCTGCATTCTAAAGAGTGGGTCATTAAGAGGACGCAGCACTCTGGGCTTCTGTGCAAGGTATCAACACTTCAGCAGTAGAGCTCTGAACATCTCAGACACACCTTATACACTGTCTAGTTTTTATAAACCCCTACATATGTCCTATACACAAAAAGGGACACTTCCTACAAAATGTAGTTCAACATTTCTTACATATCCATCTTAATCAGTATAATTTTGCTGAACTGAATGCTCTCATTTTCAGAGCTTACATGATTATGGTTGCCAATATTACCATAAGAAGAAAAAAAAATTATCAAAGTAATTTCCCTGAATGTGTAATGACTTGTTTTCTCTTCTCTCTTGTCTCAAGTCTTCCTCGTCTTGAAAGAAAAATCAAGAACTACTATTTTATTATTCACTTATTATTATTAATTACAAATTTTTGATTGTTTACTATGGTCCCTTTCTCTGGTCACATAAAATCAGTGATGGCTTCTAGCACAGGGTCCTGATGACTTAAAAAAATGTTCGTGTTTCATAGCTTAATTCACATTTCTTTTACATTAAAGTACTTTCTGAAATAGGGAATAATTATGCAAAGTACAGTAGATTTAATGGGATCCAGAATCAAAGACATCCTGATCTTGCTACAGTTGGGAAGACTGTTAAGGTTTGAATGGGGGAGTCGGCTTTTGGTAGTAGTCTAGCCTCTGCCTGCTTCTTCTATTTCTGTCTTTCCCAGCTTCTTCATTCTGTTTTCCTCAGCGCTCCTTAGTTGACATTGATCTATTATGTCTGGGAAAGTATTGTTATTTTTTGGTATTTGTTTGAAACCATAATGCACCTCGAACCTTCATTTTAACATAGTATGTTAAGTTGGACTGCAGTGCCTATGAAATGACTTGCTACTCAAACCACAAATGTTCAAGGTTAAAACTCAATCTTGAAAGGAAGAGAAAACCTTAAAACCATGTTTTAGTAGTACTATGAATAACTTAGCTATCTTCATGTATGCTTTCTTTTTTTTATATACAAAGCATGATTATATGTATTTTTCTGTTATCCAGCTGTTTTCTCTTTAAAATGACTGGGGTACTGGAGAAACAAAAAGAATGTTAAAAAAGCAAGAAGCTGTGTTTATGTCCTTCTAGCTATTGGATATTCCAATATCAATGAGATGATAGAGTTTTAGGAATTATGCTGGGCAGTTTTGCCCACTTAGGGCATCTAATAGTGATTAAAAAAAAATCAGTAAGGTCCACAGCATTCACTTTTCTTTCTACTCAGAACTAAGAGTTTTTTCGCTTTTGTTTCTGTTTTTTCTTTTCTACTCAAGACATACACACAAGATTTAATTGAGAATGACATCTTATGTTCTGAGATAAACTATACGTAGTTTCTTAAATAATTCGTAGGTATATCAACTACAATTAAAAGACAAATGGGGGCAAGAAGCATGTATCTCTGTTCAGTTTGGATCCTCAGCATCCACATGTTTTTTGGAACATGGTAAACAGGAAGTAGATATTTGTAAGTTTCTTAACTAATTGGCAATACCTTATCAATATATGAGATGGTTCTGGTTTGACTACCAATTCTTCCTCACTGAATCTCTTAGTATAAAATGATTCTGGAATGATTCAAGGAATAACCATGCTCTGCACCTTAGGGTCAGCATCTCTTCTGTGGTGCTGGTTCTGCATTATCATATTGGTTCTTCGCAGCCCACTCATCTATTTTTGCTTTTATTTCTAGTCGTTGTCACAGCGTGAGTCAGGCTGCATCTTTCTTGTCTTTCTTTCTTCTTCTTCTTCTTTTTTTTTTAATGGAACACTTCCCTAATTTGAGTGTCATCTTTGCACACGGGCTGTGCTAATCTTCTCTGTAACGTTCCAATTTTAGTATATGTGCTGCTGAGCAAGCACAGACTGTTTCTTTCTCGATGGGGTGTTTCCATGTATTACTCTTGCTCTCCTAATTGTGGAAGGAAAGCTCTCATTTGTATGTTGCAATAGCTCAGGCTCTGGTCCTGTAATTGTTCTTCATCCATTGTCTTCCTCTCTTTCATTCTTTCTCCTCTCACTGCATTGGCTCTTTTCTTAACAGGATATATTTGATATTTAGACATACTTAGGATGTATCCATTTTAAGAACAAACAAAAGTAAATAAAGTACCTTGACATTTGTGTCTTTTTAGGTAAGGTTTCTTCCTCCCTTTCTTGGCCAGGTCACCTGAAACACCAGTCTACCTGAAATGTTTCTCTTTCCTTTGCTCCTGGTTGCTTTTCAACTCAAGATAATATCTCTTCTGCCTATCAAACCTCATAAAAAGTATCCTTCATAAGGCCTTAGTTCTTGAGATGACTTCCTATGATATGGAAAGAAAATGCTGTGATTTTTAATTATATTCTTATTAAAATTCATGTCCTCATTGACATTGGAACCTCACTTGGTCACATGTTAAGCCAATGATGGATCCCGAGGTAAGAGCGAGAGCCATACTCTGGAGATGTTTCTGTGTTACTGCTATGTGTTGTAGTTTTCATTTACAATCATGGTACTTTTATTCCTTGTATGAGCTCTTAATCTGGCATATTAGGAGTTAAGACAGTAACAGTCTCATAGGCTCTTATAAGAAATATGTTCAAAAAAATTGAAGTCATCAATATCTATTTAAAATCTATACTTACACCAACCATAAAGATGAAGTTTACCCTAAGTGCTTTGAAATAATAGCTAATATTAGTAAAACATTAATAACAGCTATTAATGTTAGCAAGGCCTTTAAAATATATGGAGTCTCCTTAATCATATTTTTTCTATTTTTTGCATTAACTCATTCATATTTTTCTATTTTTTGTAGTATATAATACACACAATCCTTTGGTACAGTAGAATATACTACTATATATATAGTAGTATACTTACTTATATAACCTATAAGTAAATGATTATACATGTATGGTTGGTTTGTGCTCAAGTAGTTCCCTCGTGGAGCATGCAATCAAAAAACAGATTACAGTACTGTATTGCTTTACCTATTTATGGTAGATGGCTCTCCTGTACTTAAATAATTTCTTCATCAATTCATTTTGGGAAATGAAACAATCTGTATGTCTCATTGGATAGTTACAATGTGAATAGGCATGCTAAGTCGAATGTCCTTCACTAAATACATTTTTCATTTTGCTGGGTTTACAAAGCAATTCCCAAACTTATATTTGGTTAGAAACAGGTTTTTTTGTGTATTTATTTTATTTTTGTTTTGGTGGCACCACTCTTAACATGTTTTAGATTAGGGTTCCACAGATCACTAATCAGATACTCATGTGGGAAATGTTGATTACTTATTTGAAATAGTATCTATGATACATTGTTTAGTAACAATGTATCATGATATGGAAAGAAAATGAGAAAGGAACATTCCAGGCCAACATGAATAGTATAACTTTATTTAACAAATTATATGAACATATAAAGATCTGAGCTGACATATGCACTAAGATACAAAAAGTACCTAAATGATGGATTTATTGATGATTCTGTTTTTGCTTTTCTTTTTTATTTTTAAAGATTTTATTTATTTATTTGACACAGAGAGAGAGCACAAGCATGGGGAGCAAGGAGAGGGAGAAGCAGACACCCTCCTGAGCAGGGAGCCTGTTGCTTTGGGGCTCCATCCCAGGACCCTGGGATCATGACCTGAACTGAAGGCAGAAGCTTAGTGCTGAGCCACCCACGCGCCCTCAGTGTTTTTCTATTTGATTAGCATAGCAATGCTTTGATTCTGTCCCTTTCATTCTCTATGTGCCTTTGGTAAAATTATTTAAACTCTGTGCTTTAGTTTTAATCATAAAATGTCAGTTTTAAGTGTTTTACTTGGAATAAGCTGTACTATCTGTACTAATATTTTTTATACTCAGCAAGTACTTAGTGTGCACCTATTGTGAGCTAAGCACAATGGAAGTGACTTGTTTATATGATTTAAAGCATTTAAAAAAACCCTCATAATTTAGATGTATTAAAATTGAAATAAAGCCTAATTACCCTATTCAGACCATGATCCCTTCAAGATAGCAAGATTCCTGACCTGGCCCACAATGGGACAAGGAACAGTGTCAAAGTGCTTATCATGATCCTTCCTATTGACATCAAAGGCCAAGAACGTAGCCTGAATATCTACTTTCCCTTAATAATCCTTTATTCATAATCATAATCTACCTTTTTCTCTGATTTTCTTTATATACTGTTTAAATGTGCCAAACCTTATTTGAAGCTATTCATATTTTTACTTTTTACTACATCTTAGGAGATTACAAATTTCTATGAATTTCTTACATGATAAACTAGAAATTAATTATTTGTATTTCTTCTAACTATGTCTATGCGAGTCCTGAAACAATGACTCTGTCTTTGACCCTCCATCTTGTTCTCTCCTCTGGCGCAGAGAGGACACCAATTTGGATAATGCCTTGTGACCTTACCATCATGCCCCTTGCTCCATGAAAGTTTAGGATTAAGGTATGAATGGGGGCAGGAAATACAGGACAGAGAATAGTAGCCAACAACAGCTGCATAATGCCCTGGGTTGTCCCTCCATCCACCCACCTGCCCAATTGCTCCTGCCAGTAAGTTATCCTGAGTAAGACTCTGTGTAAATGGTATGGAGTGGCTTACTTTGTTTTTTAGTATTAAAGTGCCTTCTCAGTCTGGAGGACACATTACTGACCCTCCAACACTTCCTAACAATGGCTTACTGAAGCTTTGTGGTTTGAGCACCCAAAAGGGCTACTGGGCAGGGATTTTGTTGCCATATTTATAAAATGACACATCAGTTGAAGGGCCTTAGAGCATACTGTGGGTATAATCCAAGAATGAGTCTCAGGAGAATCTTTGGAGTAACCATGAATCAGATTTGTTTAGAATTTTCTTCTGGAGCTTTCTGCACTCTAAAGTACCTGAAAGACCACTTTGCCTTCTGAGCCTGTACATTGTGGAATGGTGCCTAATAATATGAGGAAAACTGAGAAGAAAAACTGTAGTGCAGCCTTTAATCTGCTTTATGTGTTTACATGCTTTCCATGTTGCTAAACGTATGCTTTCATTATTATGAACACTAAATCTTAAATATTTTTCCTTACAGTTAAAAAAAAGTCATTTTTAGTTTATAAACATGCTTTCCAGTCTAGTTTCTTGTTTTGAAGGTGACAGCAGAAAGACCTCTTTGGAAGCACTCATCTTTGGTTTACACTTTAAATCAACCTTTTCAACCTTGATATAATTGATATTTGGAGCTGCATAATTCTCTCTGGGGGGGGTATTGTTCTGTGCATTTTTGAAAGTTTAGCAGCATCCCTGGCCTCTGCCTACTAGGTGCCACTAGCAAGCCCTTTCTGCTCCCAAATCATCACCAGTTGAGAAACACTGCCTTAAATATCGACATTATGTCTTTCTGTTGGTACATTTGGGGATAAACAGATTGAACAGTTGATGTCTACTGGGGGTCTCTGAGAGAAACACATATTTTCCTATCTGAGTTGTTTTAGAAAAGACTTTTAATAATTTTCATTTAATGTGTAAATCTAATCCTAGAGAACAGAGAAAAGGGTCTAGGTATAGATATAGGAATTATATATCCAAGACTTCATCCCAGATATGAATATGTCATAAGACACATTTCTTTTAATGTCTTCCTTATTTGTGTAATGACTGGCCCCAGTCATTCCACATATGAGGGTATTATCGTTTGGACTTGATCGTGTTGTGCCTGGGACCAAGTATTTTTTCTGAACTGTCAATATGCGTATTATTTGTCCATATTTTATAGATGCCTTATTCAATTTGTTCTTCCATAAGAAAATTACCATAGACTGGATGGCTTAAACAGTAGAAATTTATTTTTCACTGTTCTGGAGGTAGAGGATTCAAGATCAAAATGCAGGCAGATTCAGTTCCTGGTGAGAGCATCTTCCGAATTACATCCTCACATGGCAGAGCAGGAGACAGAGAACATTCAAGTAAATTCTTGTTTCTTCTTTTTCTTCCTATAAGAGCACTAATCCTATCATGAGGGCTCCACCCTCATGGCCTAATTGCCTCCCAAAGACGCCATCTCCAAATACTACCACATTGGGGAGTAGTGCTTCAATATATGAATTTTAGGGGGACATGAACATAAAGTCCATAGCAGTAGGAGAATTTCATTATATGAAGAAGTTGAAAGACTGCTATTTTCTGTCTGAATCCTTATAAAAATTTAGAATGAAAAATAAAAGTATTAAAAGAATAAAACTAAAAAAAGAATAAAACTCAAGTGTAACTAGAAAAATATAAATATATGAAATGAGATAATTAGGTTTCACTATAGTCTCTTCACTTTCCCCTGATAGAATCACAGTATAACAAAAGCATTTCTCCTTCTCAGAAAGATTCAAAAATTCTAAACATTACCCTTTCCAGGACAATGAAACAGCAAAGAACTTCACTGGTATTTTTCTGTCACAGGAAAATCATTTCAATTAGATACATTAGTGATATATAAGAAGGGAATATGAAATAGAAAAGTGACATCAGACCATGAGACAAATGGCTCAAATCTTATAAATGATTTTTTAAAATCAGAATTTTAGTGATTCATTGGTGACTTTATGGAAAGTTCCACTTATAAAAGTCCTACATGACACTAATCCCCATATCTAAATTCAAAAATGAGGGAAAACATGTCAATTCACCTTCTTTAAAAATCACCTAAAAGATAGGCCCAATCAATCTTGTTTGTTTCTCCTAGACAGGATTTTTCATTATTGATACTATTGACTAGATAAATCTTTATTGTGGGAGCTGTCCTGTGCAATGTGGGATGTTTAGCAGCATCTCTAGCCTCTACCCACCAGCCACTAGCAATGCTTGCACAATTGTGACAATC